TATTATATCTTGTAATTAAAGTCTTATATTGTAAATAAAATATATCTTTCTTTAAACTATATACTTTCCACGAACTGACCTTAGTGAAGTTACATTCCACTTTTACACCACTATAATCTTGCAACGGAGCTCTATAGCCATGTGCTTTGTTACTTGTGCTGTATTAAGAAAGCTACAGTCCACTTGTAACAATATAATATAGAATTTAGAATCATTTATCAAATACTTTTATTATAACTTTTAGTTTAGCGATTATTAATTTACTTGATAAAATATTTAATACAAAGTTATAAAATATTTAAAATCTATAAGATAGATATACTAATTTAAGTTATTTAATTCTATTTTAATTCTATCATAATCATATAAAATATTTTTAAATTTATAATGCTTTTCATTAAATGTAGATAATAACTTTAATACAAAAGAACTATTTTATTTTAAACCAAATTAAGTAGAAGGAAACATTTTTACATAATTACTATTTTGTTTTAGAAATAATAATTTTGATACTAATTTATCATTTAATCGTATTCTTTTAGATGTAATAGTATTACCGGCATCTGAGAATAACCTCTCACTTGGTATACTTGTTGCAAGTATTGATAAATATTTTCTTGCTAAAATGCTAAGATTCAGAAACTTTTTTTAATTATTATTCTACCATTTTAGTAGATTAGTATCAGGTGATTCAATTGGTATATGTTTATTATCAAAATAACAGCTTAATTCATCATCATCATTAGTAGTATAGTTACTTTCAAAAATATCACGAAATAGTATATTTGTTGAAGTACTTTTAGAAATATTAATATTAGTATTTTTCTTAGAGTTTTGCATTAAAGTTTTAAACTGAAATTGTAATTCAGAAATAGCATCATTTTGTATATTATTATCAAAAATTTGCAAATGTTTTACACATAGATCTAACAAAGTTGCTAATAATCTAATTTGTAATAGATTTTCCCAATATTCAAATAATGAATCATAAATAGCTTTTCGTACACGTTCTAATATATAATTTAATGAAAATAAAGATGAGTCTTGTGATATAGATCTACGTTCATTTTCAGATACTGAATCTTCACTAGAAAAATCTGAAAAATCTTCAAATTCAGAATTTTTATCATCAAAACTTTCTTTATTTAAATTCTCATAAGATTTTAAATATTCAGAACTTGCATAGCGAAACTTAAATGCTTCTACTGCTAGATATACTATAGAAAGAGTTGCATACCGAGTACCACTAAAGTATTCAGTTAATACTTCAAATGGGCTTAACAAATCAACTAAACCTTGTACTAATTTCCACTCTTTATCTTTTAAAAGCAGTTGCTTTAATTTACACATATCATTTTTAGCATCTCTTGTTTCTTCATGTGGTAATGTATTACTTAACCATTCTATTGCTTCACGTAGCTTTAAAAGTTTAGACCAAGAGTAGTATTTTGAGTTCTATCTGGTTTTTATATCTGCTATATTTTTTAATATTTGGATATTCAATGATTGTTTTAATATAATATTATTATTATCACTGGATTCAAGATTACTATCAGATTCATTTGTAAGTTGAGATGTAATTTTTTTCCTTTACGTTGATATAATTCTTGTTGAGCTTGATCTAATCGCTCACTTTGTTTAGATGAATTAAAAAACTTTACTAATTTTTTAATTTTCTTTGTATAACTTTTAATTTGGCACAAACCTTGGTTAACTGATAATTGCATAGTATGGGCTGCACATAGAATTCTTTGAAGATCTAGATATAATTCAATAGCTTTCTTCATATTTGAACCATTATCAGAAATTATACATGTTACTTTATTTTGCAATCTGAATTTATTAATTTTTTGTTCTAAATATTCCTGAATTATATGGCCCGTATGAGGATAAGGCATTTTATCTATACAAAGTAAGGTATTAACTACAGTAAAATTAGCATTTAGCCAATGAACAGTGATACCAATATATCATGATTTGCTTCTAGCAGTCCATATATCTGTGGTAATTGATGCTGACTCACAATTTTTTGCAATAAGATCTTTAAGTTGTTGGGTACAATAATGTATTCCTATTGCAATATCTTTTTTAAGGGCTTTGTTACTTGAGATCGTAGAAGCTAGATCAATTTGTTTTATTATTTTTTTATCCCTTAAACCATATATTTTAGCGTACAAATTTGTACGCTTAAATTTTTAGAAGAAAATTGAGATATAAAAAAA